TTGGATAACCAGAGTTAATCCCTGGTTTTCTTTGTCACGGATCCCCGGAAGCAACGGTTTCGGCACGAGGGCGCGACGTCGATTCGCGAAATTAAAAAAAAAGAAGAGAAGATTTTATGTATATTCTTCTCCACAAATATTCTCCCATTAACACTACTAATGGAAGAATAATTTTTAGTTCATTAAAACTGAAAATATACGAGATTGCATGATTTGAGAAACGATTGTCGTTAACTCCCTGCCGAAATGACCGCTATCGGAGATAATCCGGAAGATCTGGGATTCATTCTTTCCTGCAGCAGGGCCTTTAATTTTCTTTTACATTCTTTTAATACAATATGATGAAACTCTATTGCTCATATTACGATATGTTGAATGCACTTTCCATCTTGAGTTGTTGCAAAAATTACACAAAACATGGCTTGACAAATATAGTCTTGCTGTATTTGTCGAGCAAATCTTTTGTAACCTATCCATTTATTTTTCATATTTTCTATATTTGATTTGGTATATAATATGTATTGTCAAGATGCGTATCGCATGAACGACATGCACAATTACACGCATCTACGCGGCATTTTTCGCGATCGGTTTTTCAGGAAAAAAATTTCAATTAATTATTAATTACTTAATTTTATCCATATTATAAATTTTAATTTATCGAGGAATATGATTAAAATCACTCTAACGCGAAGTAAATTTTTTTCTATATCTATTCGACTTTTGAATTTAAAGATCATTTGTGAAGAGATGGTCAATATATGTTTAAATAAATAACGGAAGTAAAAATAAATTTGATTCCTACATACCGTAAAGTTTTTTGAATTAATATTTTTCTTTTAATTAACTTCTCGTGGTCGTACATTTTGCGATACGATCGTCACTCGTATATTCGAACCGTACGAAATATTTGTCGGTGACGATAACCGACAACGGAAGTAGTTTTCTTCCTTCCTGATCTCTGGTCAAAATGACCAGATATTATTGTATGGCTGGGAGCAACGAAAGGTATGTCCAATCTGGCCCAACGATGGACTAAATACGACGAGGTAAGTGGTCAATATTGGCCACTGATGGAGTACCTGAGTAAGGTACCTGTACGAAGTATACTTTGATTTCTTTTGATTTGTCACAATTCGGGTGGGTTATGCTTCTATATACATACATTCTCGCATATGTGCGAGAGTGAAACCCCTATTAAATCCCGCGTTAAACTCCAAGTCAAACCCCTAGAAAATCGCGTCACGCTTAATTAAAGATTTGTAGGTACATTATGTTGAAACACGGGTAGGTAGGTCTATAAATCGGAAAACGGGTAGGTAAGGATTCGGATAGTCAGGAATAGGGGGCATAATTCGATAGTTAAAAAAATTAGGTAACATAAATTAACGAAGTAACAATAACTTTAATATAATAAGTACATAAAAAAAATTTCGTGGACAACAAACAAAAGAGGACCGCCAATAAGAATTCGGCGGGGGTGGTGGAGGGCCTCTACAAATTGGTCTGATTTTATCTGATAAAAATTTAATTAAAATCTAAAAGAGGCATTATTTCATTTATAACCAGAAAATGCAAAGTTATAATAAAATAGAAAACCTATCGAGAACTTGTCACGAACAGTCTACTACAAATTTTGTTGGCAAAAAGAGTACAACGTAGCTTGTCAGCAAATTTGTATATTGTATACAGGGTGTACTAAAACCACCGGATATCCTTTTAATCATAGTGACAACTTTCACAACAGACTTAACGATTCATTCTCGAATTAATTGTTCCTCTTGTTATCTTTAACCATTTTTTTTGTTAACTTTGTGTAGCGTCTTATTAATAAAAGGGAGGGGTTCACTATGATGAATCTTGATCAGACTGATATCCTTCGATTTAGTCGATCTCCGATATTCTGAGTGAACTTGGAATTTTCAGTTAGATTCAATCTAGTCTCCTGCCTTTCTTTATCCTCAAGTTTTCAAAATAACCGGATCATCGTTTTCCCAAAGATTTTCTGTCCCGTTAAACGGTGACTTTGGTTCTCGCTCGCTCGCGAAACACACTTTTATCACTCGTCATGTCGCCGTGCCTGAGCGCGCGAAATCTTAGACCTGTCATTTGTGAAATATAATCGCTTATTATTTAAAAACTATCATAGCCTCGACATTTTTTATTAGAATTTTCCTCTTTAAATTTTCTAAGGAATCTGCGATTCAAAGGATATCCGGTGGTTTTAGTACACCCTGTATATAATTTGTATGTCAGTAACGAAAGAATGTGAATCGCCAGTAGTTGATTAACAATAAAAAGAATTGTTAGTATGTATAAGTTATAATATATTATATATATTATAAAATACTATGAAGACTTTTATCATAAAATGCATTTCAGTTATATTTATTTAATAAACAAATACATCGATATATATACAAATTTGGCTGGTTTGAGCTTATTTGAGCTAAAATATTCTAAATGTATATAAAAAGCACAGTCTAGGTTTACGAATTTAGTTCATAAATTGGACGTTTGGTATTTTTAGGCCCGGTTGTTTCATTTTTTGGCTAACTGTTAGCCAGAAGTTAATCAATTCTCCCTTTTTAGATAATAATATAAAGAAAGATAGAGAGTCAAACTTGTGGTTAGCTGTTAACCAGAAAATGAAAAACCGGGCCTTAGATATGTACACAGCCAATTGAACAATATGAAATACACTACATATAATGTGCAATACAATAAATCTTAAATTTCTTATATTTATATCTATATATCTATACATATACTTTCATATTAATAGATTTAGGTCTTTAAAAAGCATGGAGTTACAATGTTCTAACAAATTTTTTTTAAAATTAAGTAGCTTGCTTGTAGTATTCCTTTCATTTCAAAGTTTTCTTAACACTCAAATATAACAAAAAGAATTATTAGATTATAGCGTTTCGAGCGCATCTGCACGTCTATTCCCATTAAATATTGCACACGTTACGTCCTTGATATTCGTTCATAGAAAATGTTCATTTTAATTTAAAAGAAAATGTGAAAACAATATTTGAACAATCATATAATTTTATATTATCAAAATGCTATTTGAATATCCTAATTCGTCGAAAATTTTTCAATCAAGAGTGATAGTGCGTAACGAGTCTTCGGGACAAGTCTCTATTTCCGCGATAGTGCCGAAGTTGAAGGGGGTCGCTATTCCACCGTCGAGAACTAAGCCTGCGTCAAAGCATTGCGATTTCACAGTAGCTTTCCTACAGAAACCACGAGTGTGCACGTCTTTCGGAACAGGTACCGCGTCGGTAACTATCATATCTCTTATTGAGTAACACAGTTTGGAATCTTCTGTAAAAAAAATGTACATATACTCTTTAGAAAATATCGTTATATCTTCTCATATTATTCACATAACACACTGACCTGCGTCAAATCGCAAGCTGCTGTTGAACGTTGAACAGATGGTATTAATTTCGTCATTGGTGAATTGCCGTTTGGTATCCACGAAGCTTAATATATCCCGCACGGTTTGATGGTTCAGGCTGTGTATAGATTTATACCAAGACGTTGATCCTGTCCCTGTGCTCACGCACAAACCGGAGCCCTTTACTTTTTTATATTCTTTGTCCTCATCGAACTTTATAAGTAAGGAACTCGTCCGTGCCGATAACGTTTCGCCCATGAAAACCTAGCGACAAACACCAGGCCTGAGATATACATAAAAGTGTAAGTCGGATCGCTCGACTTTTAACACACGCGTGCGCATCGAGGAGCATTAATAAACTCACTTCATTAAGCGCCAACCAAGGTAGCTTCCGTTCCTTTGGTAAATCTCTCTGCTTGCTTCCCAACTTTTCGTTCGTATAAAAAAACCTGCGAGCAATAAATGCATAATAATCGAAGCTCGTATCACAGAATGCAGAAACGGTAGACGTAAGCTCCGAGAATGAACTGCCGCTAGGAAAGTATGCGATCTAACAAATGCGAATGCTTAATAACTTAATATAACATTGATATTGAACGTACCTGTCACCAACGATACGGCCTTTCTCGTGCGTATGAAAGGCAGGTAGCCATATTTCTTCTCCCTTCAAAGTGATTCGTATTCGTCTTCGCATAAGAGTGCTGTAGTGCCCCGCCCTCAGCATCTCGAAAATTTCTGGTATGGCATTCGTATATTTCGCCGATAACAAGAGAAAGCCTTCTGACTTCTCAGGGTACGAATTAATGCCCATTATAGGTTTCTTATTATTGAATATCAAATTCGAGGCTAAGAGGAACGTTCCGTCGCCACCGATTGGCAGCACTAGATCCGCCCACGTAAAGAGCGACTCATCCAAACATGTTCTGAAACAAAAATATCACATATATTTTTACTTTAATTTACCTTAATTACGATTAATGCGCATTTCAATCTCGAAGTCGAAAGTTTATTCTCCAAGTATACATTTTCTTCATCGGAGAGATTTAAGCTCACCTGTCTATTATTTTGTACTCCATGTTCAGCTTTCGCAAGAGCTGAGCGACTTGAGCTTCCACAGCTTTGGTGGCCAAGTGGCTGGCGAGTATGGCGTTATAATCCGAGTCCCTTTCGAGTAGCTTCCTCTTCAGCTGGGTCTCATTGAGCTCGGGTTCCCGTAACCTTTCGAAGTGGTACCGGGACAATTTCGCCACGATAAGCACCTTCTTAGGCACAAAACTAGATTCATTTCGAAAGAGGAGGCGCAGACTTCTGTGTACTTTGGCGGAAGGGGCCTGTAAAAGCCGCAGCGTTCCTGAAAACGAATCGTGACTATCAGCCGCTGCGATTAACCTGCCCTCGAACGCACGTCGGATATCAATGACCGATCTCACGCGTTTAACTCCGTAGACTCGAGCGGAGGCTGTTTGCAACATCTATTTTTATCAATTTTAATAACTGCGAACCAATTGATTGGGAAAACAGTTTGAAACAAGTGTATTTACGAGCTCATACTTTTACTTCGAAGTCACACGTTAGTGAAGCTAGGTTAAACGCTTGATTAAAACGTCGCGCGTGTTGTTCGACATGCGACAATTAAATTGATTCAACAAAAAAATTAATCGTTCCCGTTTGAAGACGCATATGTTTTGGAGTCTTCAATTTGTTGGCGTATTATATCAAAATAGATATACGCGAGAGGCGTGTATTCTCATATAAAATGCGACGTGATAAAGTCTCTCCTCGATTGCCTTTGACCCGATGCGTATCTCCCGCAGATACGGGCTGGTTGCCCAATCGCGTGGAAAAAAACAGTTTACGGGACTCGAGAGCTGTCATTGAAGCGTCGCGAGACGAACGTGCTCCTC